AAAAAAAAAAAAAAAGAGAAACAGGGTAAGCACCACCTCTCTCATGACTCTCTCTGCCTCCTTCTGCCCCACCCACCCCAGTAAGAGTTTCCCCAAGAAGGCTCTTCTTCCACTGCCACCTTCCACTGACATTTCTTTCTTTTTTTGAGACAGAGTCTCACTCCATCACCAGGCGCCAAGGCTGGAGTGCAGTGGTGCGACCTTGGCTGACTGCAACCTCCGCCTCCCGGGTTCAAGCAATTCTGCCTCAGCCTCCCAAGTAGCTGGGATTACAGGCACACGCCACCATGCCCAGCTAATTTTTTTCGTATTTTTAGTAGAGACGGGGTTTCACCATGTTGGCCAGCATGGTCTCGATCTCTTCACCTTGTGATCCGCCCGCCTTGGCCTCCCAAAGTGCTGGGATTACAGGTGTGAGCCACCGCGCCCGGCCTCCACTGACATTTTCCTAGAAACTGTGAGACTCAATTCACAACGATTCCCTCTCCTTCCCTCTTGGGGTCTCTGATCAACTGCCATTTCATTACAGCCTTTCTCTTTTGAGACAGAGTCTTACTCTGTTGCCCAGGCTGGAATGCAATGGTGTGATCTCAGTTCACTGAAACTTCTGCCTCCTGGGTTCAGGCAATTCTCCTGCCTCAGCCTCCTGAGTAACTGGGATTACAGGCACGCGCCACCATGCCCAGCTAACTTTTTGTATTTTTATAGAGACGGGGTTTTACCATGTTGACCAGGATGGTCTTGATCTCTTGGCCTCGTGATCCACCCCCCTCGGCCTCCCAAAGTGCTGGGATTACAGGCATGAGCCACTGCGCCCGGCCAACCCGGCTAATTTTTTTTTTTTTTTTTTTTTTTTTTAATTCTAGCTTTAGTAGAGGCTGGGTTTCTGCCATGTTAGCTAGGTTGGTCTCAAACTCCTGAGCTCAAGTGATCTGCCCGCCTCTGCTCCTCACAATGCTGGGATTACAGGCGTGAGCCACCTCGGTCAGCCCAAAGTGTATTCTTAATCTGGCCGGGGAACAGTATGACCTCTCTGGTTAAGAATCCTGGGCCCAGGCCAGCCTTAGTCCTCTGGCTTTCAGTGCTGCAGATGAGAAATCTTATGCCAATGTGTTGGGTTTTTTTCTTCTCTCCTTTGTCAATGATTTATTTATTCTGTTGTGAAGCTTCTGAGATTTTATCTGTGGATTTCAAGAATGTCACCAGGAGATGCCAAGGGTGTGTCTTTTTCTTTAAAGTAACCCTGCCTGGAGCTCTACCAACACTTTCACTGTGCAGATTCATACCCTCTTCTGATCAGGGAAAATTCCCACTATTATTTATTCATCATATTTACCACCTCCAGACCTGCTTCCTCTTCTCCTTCTGGAGCCTCTAACATTCACAGGTGGATGAAGAAGCATCTCCCAAGCCTATCTTTACTTGGGTGATTTCCCTTTGGGTTTCTGGTTTTCTGGAAGGTATTTGTATCCTAAAAACAGGAAGTCAATCCTCTTTTCCATTTCAGTTTTTTTTTAATTTTTAAATTTTTATTATTATTTTTTTTAGAGACAGGGTTTTGCCATGTTGGTCACGATGGTCTGGATCTCTTGACCTCGTGATCTGCCCACCTCAGCCTCCCAAAGTGCTGGGATTACAGGCGTGAGCCACCGAACCCAGCTTTTTTTTCTAAACTTCAAAATCCTAGTTCTAGAAACTCTTTTCTTATGTAGTATCTGGATTTCCCTGCTTTTTGGAAACCGAACACTTGCCCAGGATGTGCTGCTGGACTTTACCTCTCCGTCTGGCAAGGGGCCCCTGGAGCCCCCTCCATGTCCTCTGCAGCCAGGTCCAGCTGTGGGGTCCCCTTCCTGTGGGTGCATGGTCATGCCTCTGGCCCCAGACCTGCCCAGGTGCCAGCAATAGCAAGAGGGCAAGGGAGAGAGAGAACAGAAAGACGCTTGTCCCACGGAGCCCCAGTCAGGACTCCCAGGCAGGCATTGGTTCCCACTTTCTCTCCTGACTTGTTTCAGCACCCTTCAGCGAGGGGCTTGATCTCCTTCACCCAGAAGAATCCATCCTCAGGAACGGCGAGGGCCTCACCATCTTCCTGAGTGCATGGGGAGGCCCCCAGTCACACCAGCAGAAGCGGAACCCTGTCTCCCAACTCCAAAGCCACTGCCTATGGTCATCCCTAAGCTGGTCTCCAGGGGCAGTCCCCACCCAATGGTCTTCCAGGGCCGCGAGGGTCGTGGAGGAATCACTATCCTGTGGATGGCTGGCAGCAGAGGTGGTGGGAAGAGGCATCCTCCCCTCTTTGAGTCTCCCTCTCCTCGAAGGTTCTCCCACACCTAGCTGAGCTTTTCTGTGCTGGCTCCTGTCCATGCTGCCCCCCTGTCCAGAACCCAGTGTCTATGTGGCCCCAAGATTTGGGACTGACCCCCCAGTATGGAAGAGGAAGGAGGCGTTCCAAACCTTCCACCATGCAAGGCCTCAAGGAAGCTGTCAGTCAAGATGCTGGCCCCGCCTCCCTAGAAAGTTAAAACAGGTGACCCACACTAGGCAAATAGTAGGGGGTAGACAGTGCCCCTCCCCAGCCACCAAGAAGAAGCATTGCTATCATCTACCCTGAGCCTGTAGGTTGGGGAGAGCCCAAGAAGGAGCCAGGCAGGGGCCACTGGGGTGCAGATCCCAAAATGGGGTACCTCTGGGCAGGCTGTCAGTGTGACTCTGGCTGTACCAGGGACCTGGAGCCTGGGACACAGTCAGTTAGTTCATTGTCCTGAGGCCCCACCCCAGCGCCCTGGAGGAAGGAGGAGAAGAGAGGACTACAGACCCACCCTGGTGGGTCAGAGGAGAATGTGGTGTGACTTTCTCTAGTCCCTCCACCTCTCTGGGCCTAGGTTTCTCAGATGAGACCAGGAGGAAGTCCCCAAGTGACTTCTGTCCTTGTCCCCTGGGAGGCTCAGGCTTAGGCTTGCAGAGCCTTAGCTGGGTGGGCACTATGTTCCTGGGGGTTTTACCCACAGAACAGGGCCTGGGCAGGGGGTGCTGGTGCCCCAGTGCTACAGCACCAGACAGTGCCAGTCCTTGGCCTCACCCACAAATCTAGGGCAGGGGGCATGGATCTGATCTCTCCCAGGTGGGCCCATGAGGATGGGCAGCAAAGGGCATTCCAGGCAAGGAGGCCTGCACAGCAGGAGTGCAGAGAGTGACAGCACAGGTGTGCCGTAGGCACCTCAGGCCGGGCCTTAGTGGGAGTGTTCCTGCTCCAAACCCCGGTGTTCCCAGGACAGCAGCACCGGCTGCAGCGCAACTGCAGAAGGAACCCTGCCCCTCTGGGGAAAGAATCTACACTCCCCAAAGACTGGAAGGTGTTGGCCTGGGAACAGCCCCTCACCCCACCCGCAGGAGCTGGAAGTGGTTGGGGAGCAAGGGTGGAACAGACAGCAAGATCGGAGTAGGGAGGGGAAGATGAGAATGGAATTCACAGAGGACACGCCCCCTCTGTCTCCAGGGCACCCAGCGCTAGGGAGAAACCCCCCAGCGATTGGCAGCAAACTCCAGGCTTTCTCCCCTGCAGCCTCTGACTGAGTGACCGGCCGGGGAGTTCTAACTCCCGTCACCGCACACCACCTCCCCAACACGTCTCTCGCCCGGGAAGAAGCAGGCTCCAACGCCACAGGTTTAAATACTTAAGGCCACCGCTGGCCACTCTTTCGCCAGGGCTGTCAGAGCTGGATTCGAGCCAAATCCCAGCAGATGAAGAGCGGAGAACAAGGGCAGGTGCTGGGGAAAAAGGCGGAACCAGACAGGGATAACGGGCCAGCCCTCTCTGCAACTCCCCCCGCCAGCCACCCACGGATAGCTCACCTGGCCTCCCCAGGAGTCCCTGGTGAATAAATTAACCCTCAAGGTAAAAGCAAAGAAGCCAGAGGCCCAACAGGGAAGTGTCTTGCCCGACGCCCACGGTCGGGGCAGGGCAGAGCCCGGACTGCACGCCTGCCCGGGAGGCAGACATCGGCTTGGGGAGAAACCCCAGGGCCGCGGCCGGGCCTCGGAGAAGGTGCCCCACACCGGCTCGTCCCGCCCACCCACCACCCGCCTCCCGCCCCCAGCAGCTCACAAAACCGCGTAGGAAGGGGCGGCGTTCCAAGGCGTGACTCGGCACCTAGGGTCTGGCCAGAGGGGTTCGGTGCCCTCTAAGGCCAGCCGGGTTAGGGGGTCGCCCCGTAGTCCCAACCCAGCTAGACTGCTGTGCGGGACGGGGTGGAGTCAGCCCCAAAATTTAAGGCGGGGGGAGGGGAGCTTGCTCCAGGGGCGCGCCGGATGGGAATGGGGGGAGGAGGGAGGCAAGTCCGGGAACGCGGCGCGGGGGGCAGCGGGGCATCCCTCCCGGCAGTCCTGGCCTCCGCCCGGCCACGATACTGCCCCGGCGCCCCAGACCTCCCGTCCGAGCGTGCCTGGAGGGGCTCAAGACACCTGCCCCTGCGGACAGCCCAGGCCTGAAGTCAGTTTACGCCCAGGAGAGCCGCCCGAGGCAAGAGCACTGCTGTCCCCATTCACAGACTCGGCGACCCCCGCCAGCGGAAGCCGCGAGGCCGGGGCGTGCCTGTGGGCCGGCCTCCTTCCCCGGACGCCTCGCCTCGGCCCGGCCCACCGCCTCCTTACCCCCCGCGCATCCAGCCAGGAAGTCCAGCGCCATGGCCGGGTCCCCGGTGAGGCCGCCCTTCTCCTTGTCCTCCTCCTGCGGCCCCTCTGCGGGCTGGGCGCCGTCGGGGTCCCGGAGCTCGCGGCGACGGGGCTGGGCCTGGCCGCCCCTCCTGGCGCGGAGCCCGGGCAGGCGGGGGCGCGGTGGGGAAGGCGGCGGCAGCGGCGGCGGCGGGGCCCGCGCAGGTCCCTCGGCGGCGGCTGCGGACTGGCCGGATCCCCTCGGGCCCGCGGTCCCTCACCTCGGGCCCCGCGCCCCGCCCCTAGTGCTTGCAGGCAGCGCCCGGGCGGGGCTGAGCGAGGCCAATGGGCGGGCGCGGCGCGGACAACACCCGGGGCCCTGCGCTCCTCCGCCGCGCCTCATTGGCCGGGCGTGCGCGGGCGGGCGGGGCGCGGGGGACGTGGCGGGTGCGCGGGCCGGGCGCGGGGGCGCCGCAGACAAAGAGCGCGCGGGGTGCGCCCGGCCCGCGGCTGGGGACCCCCCGAAGTGCGCGGGGCGGCCCTGGCCCGGGCAGGCCCTGGGTTAGGAGTCCAGCGCCGCCGCGGACCCTCAGTGCCCTCGCCTGTGCCGTGCGGACCCTGCCGCGATAACGGCCTTGGAGCGCCCGGACCCTCCGAGGCCCGGAGGCTGGGGCGCCGCTAGTTGTGAAACTCTGTGGGCTGGAATCGCCGCTGGGGAGCCTCCGCCCGTCCTGCCTGCGCGCCTGTGGCGGCGGGTGGCCTCGGGGCTTCTGGCCTCCTGGCCGAACCCGCCGGATTGTGAGGGTCGGACGCACTCGGGGGCTTCCGAGGGGCCTGAGGCTGGGATTTGGGTGAAGAGGAGGGAACTTTAAAAGGGAAGGGGTCGTGGGGCAAAGGGCGCATCCAGGCCTTCGGGCGACAGCACTTTCCCTCGGACTGTGGGTCGCGGGAGCCACGGAAGGTTGTGGAGGGAGGGAGGTGGACATGGCTGCGGAGTGGAGCCAGGGCAGATCGCAGCGCGTCCGTCAGCGGTGGCAGGACCGGGCGAGACCGGAGGGGCCACGCTCGGACGCTGAGGTCGGAGGGCGCTTGACTCTGGGTCACCAGGGTACCCCCGGGCTGCGGGGATGAGTGAGAGCCGAGTCTGACTCGGCCCCCCAAGGAGTCCCTGACATTCGCAGTGGCAAGGGACTGCCCTGGTCCTTGTGGAGGGTCCCCGTCGGTGACTTCCCACCAGCTCTTCCCGAGCGCCTCTGGAGGTCCAGACGGTCGGTTTGGAGCCTGGGAGCAGACGGGTCAGGCGCTTTCTCTTCTCTGTGGGAGTCAGATCACACAGCCTTAGGGCCCAGCTTCCTTCTTTAGGGCCTGCAGGCAAGGCCACACTCTGGGCCACGTTTCCAGGTTTAGGATCACACGGTTCTTTTATTTGAATTCCAGTGGGTGCCGCACCTGCCGGAGGGGCAGATCGTAAGGTTCTGTGTATTTGGTACTATGACACTCAGGCAGGTGTTGAATGTAGTGCAGCCTGGTGCTAGGGGCGGGGGTCCCCAACGCTCATGTTAGGCCAGGACGTGCAGGTGGGGATGGCAGCCCTTCCCTGACGCCTCTCCCCTACCAACTGCCTCCTTCCCCACCCCCCCTCCCCGCGCGCATCCAGCCAGGAAGTCCAGCGCTATAGCCCAGTCCCAGTGAGGCAGCCCTTTCTCCTCATCCTCCTCCTACAGCCCTTCTCCTGGCTGGGTGCCGTCAGGATCCCGAGCTCGGGGTGCCCAGGCTGGGCCGGCTGCTCCTCCTGGCGTGGAGTCTAGAGTCTAGAATGTTGGTTAGGAAGAGACCCAAACCCTAGGTCTGCTGACTCCTAGTCCAGGGCTTGTGATAGCTGGTGTGCCCTGAATGGGGAGTCTGGAGGCCTGTGTTTGAATATCACCACCCTCTCTCACCCACGTGGGTGCCTTGGGGAGGCAGGTGTGTGCACGGGGAGAGTGGCCCATGAACCAGAAAAGCAGTAGTAGCATGGGGGGCCCCAAGAGAAGCCCGGACCAAACGGGCAGGAGCTACCTGAGGGGCTACATGGTGAAACCCAGTCTCTACTAAAAAATACAAAAATTAGCCAGGCGTGGTGGTAGACACCTGTAATTCCAGCTACTCGGGAGACTGAGGCAGAAGAATCGCTTGAACCCTGCAGACATGGTGATTACACTGGACAACCTACATCTGGTCACTTACCTTAGGAACAGGGTGTCCTTGGAATGCTGGAGGGCTCACGAGGGAAACACAAATCCCTGCACATCCATTCCTGGTTAAGGAGGTTTGGGAGGAAAATCAAGTACCTTAACAGCATGCGGGGTCAGGCGTGGAGGCTCACGCCTGTGATCACAACCCTTCAGGAGGCTGAGGGAAGCGGATCACCTGACGTCAGGAGATTGAGACCAGCCTGGCCAACATGGTGAAACCTGGTCTCTACTAAAAAATACAAAAATTAGCCAGGCATGGTGGGCACCTGTAGTGCCAGCTACTTAGGAGGCTGAGGCAGGAGAATTGCTTGAACCCGGGAGGCGGAGGTTGCAGTGAGCCAACACGGTACTACTGTACTCCAGCGTGGTGACAGAGTGAGACTCTGTCTCAAAAAAACCAAAACAACAAAAACCCAACAAGAGCTGTTGAGAAATGTTAAGTTTATGAATATTGATAAATGCTGAGTGTATGATAGAATATATTGTTTGCTGGGAAGAACCATGGCAAGGAAAACCTAGCCACCCCCCATGCAAGTAGAAAACTACTTGGGGCATTCCAAAGTGGTAGGACAAGGTATCAATATACACACGTTAAAACAATGCTTTAAAATATCTGATCCTGCCCCCGTGGCTCCCTCGTGCAGAATGCTTTTTAGCTTGTCTATCATCAGTGGTAAGCCGGCACCAGCTGCCTACTTGGCATATTCTGTGTTACGAGAAAACACTGAACATCTGTTTGTTAATAATGATCACCTGTTAAGAGAGAATAACTGCGTGGATCAGAATCTACTCCAGCCCCTTCAGCGTGGAATGCTGTCAGCCCTGAGGCTCTCAGCTCAGAAGGCTGCTGGACCCCCAGATAGACCCACTTACTCTTCTATCTGGGTGTCTGCCTCTCAGTTCTGTCAGTGCTGCCTGGGTGGGGGTCTCTACGGCTGAGCTGGCTCTCAGTAAACAACAACAAAAAAACAGCGTGTGGCAATAGTGAGAAAATTATGGAAGCGGATAGGGAGACAAGCATGACCTGTTTTGCTTTGTTGTTGAGCGAATGCACATGCCTTTAAAATTATCCTGGGGTCAGGTCGAACTGACCTCTGAGTCCTGGTTGAGCTTCAGAAACCTCCTTAAGGCTGGGCTCAGTGGCTTATCCTGTAATCTCAGCACTCTGGGAGGCTGAGGCAGGAGGATCACTTCAAGTCAGGAGTTTGAGAACAGCCTGGCCAATATAGCAAGTCCCTATCTCTTAAAAAAAAAATAGCAGGACATGGTGGCCTGCAGGCCTGTAAGTCCTAGCTACTCAGGAGGCTGAGGCAGGAGGGTTGCCTGAGCCCAAGAGATCAAGGCTGAGGTGAGCTATGATCACACCTGGGTGACAGAGCAAGACCCTGTCTCAAAAAGAAAAAGGAAACCTCCTTGCAGGGAGGCAGCTTTGGTGAGAGAGCTGAGGCGGGCTGCAAAGGCAGCAGTGGGATTGTGCCAGGCCTGGGAGATGAGGAATGTGGGCCCTTCGCCTGCACTTTGGAGGGAGAGCTGGTTTGGGGGAGGGCAGGGTTCATGGTGGGGGAGGCTGTTGGATTTGGGGACAAAGGTCAGCATGTGGGGGCAGTAGAGGAGTGGGCTCTGGGACAAGTCCGCCTGGTCTGACCTTCCAAGGAAGCCTTAGGATGTGGGGGCTGGGGGGCTGCCTTCAGCTGAAAGCACCCCGAAGGCAGGTCCTGGGTCTGTCCCCTTCACCTTGGTGTGCCCAGGGCCTGCACAATTGACATTGGGTGAGGTACATCAGGGAGGGGGTGAGGACAGGAACTGGGAAGGGAGGGGGTCATGCAGGTGTGCCGCTGGGTTACTCAACTTCACAAAGCCACATCTCCCTGAGCAATGTGCTTCCTTGCTACCTGGGAATCAGGCGCTCAGCCAGTGCACTGCCCTGCACCCTGTGCTGGGGACAAGACAGACACAAATCCCTGACCTCCGTGACAGGGCTGGGGTGAGACAAGAAAGGAGGAGTGAAGAAGTTAGTGCCAAGTAAATATACCCATGATGCCCGCATCTTCCAGCCTGCGGTATTACACCAGCAGCTGGGCTCAGTGTCTATTGTTTTATTTCATTTCCTGAGGATAAAGTTACAGCACAGAATGTGCTTTTTCACACTCCCATGTTCCACAGAGCCCTGGACCTCCCCATCCCAGAGGAGGCAGGGCTTTGTCCAGCCCTGAGGACCCCAGCCTTTAAGGGGCAGGGCAGGCCCAAGGCCACCACAGGAGGACTGCAAGGCTGGAGGGACTGTCACAGGGTACTGACAGTCTTATGCAAGACACGTTCAGTGTGGAGAAATCAGAAACACCAGCACCTATAAAGGAAACGCATCTCCTCTGTCCCCACCCTGGAATCTGGAGTTGAGTGACCCTGCAGGAACTGTTTGGGCTGGGAATGGGGACGGTGGCTGCAGCGAAGGCTGCCATGGGGCACATTGAGGAGGTGGGGATGAGCACCAGCTGTGGAGACCTTCTCGTGAGTTAGGCCGTGCCGGGGAGGGAGACAGAAGGGCGCTGGCGGCAAACACAGGTGTAGACTTGGGATGGGCCACCTGAGCAAGTTGCAAACCCCTGGCCTGAGATGGGGGGCAGGGTGGGCTGTCAGTCAGCTCCTGTCTCACAATGAATAAAACCCGAGCTCAGCACCATGGTGTCTGAGGCCCAGGGCAACCAGGCTGCAACCTCAGCACCCACCTTTCGTGCCCTCCGGCCTCGTTGCAGCCCGCCCTCTAAGCTCTGGCCCCTCTCAGGGCCTTGGCCCTGGCAGCGCCTGCTGCCTGGCCTGGCATCGGTATCTCCAGAACTTGGTTCCTGCTCAGTGCTTACCTCCTCACAAGGGGCTTGGCTGACCTGCTGTGGTCTGGTTGTGTGTGTGTCCCCAAAATTCATATGTTGAAGTCCTTTTTTTAAACTTTTAAGTTGAGGGGTACATGTACAGGTTTGTTACATAGGTAAACCCATGTCATGGGGTGTATTGTACAGACTGTTTTGTTACCCAGGTATTAAGCCCAATGCACACTGATCCTCTCTCCTCCCCTCTACCCTCAGGCGGGCCCCAGTGTGTGTTGTTCCTCACGTGTTG